ATGTCTATGCTTCATGAGACACAATATGTCTATGCTTTATGTCGAAATATGTTTTTTCAGTATCAGAAACATCTATGATGGCCTGAAAATTTATTTTCAATTATAATTATAAAATTTAAATATTTAAAAATACAGCAAACCGAGCAAATCTATAAACATTTGAAAATCTTGAAAATTGATGGCCTAGATGATACATTCAAGATGTATTATTTGCCATACTTAAAATTTATTTGTTCTTATATCCATATATCTTGAAGTCGATATGATCAAATTAAAGGTTTTTTAGCATCGAAACCTCTTCTGGTGAAAATATGAGGTGTGGACGTGGTTTCTATAAGGTTGCAACCTTAGATAATCCAATTAAGGCACACCACCAATATAATTTTGGTGTAAAAAATTCTTAGAATTATCTTAAAATCTATTTTTATTTCTAATTATAAAACTTTAAACTAAAAAAATATTAAAATCAAGTAGATATATAAACATATGAAAATCTTGAAAATGGACCGTCTAGATAATAGATTGCAAGACACACTTTTACTGGTACTCAAAATCTGTTTTTTTCATATTCATACATTTCAATGTCAGAGATGATCAATTAGAGTTTTTCAACATTAAAACAACCTTGTCTAATGGATTTTTGTAGTGCATCTTTAATTTTAAATTTTAGGGCCCTAATTTGATTGTTTAGGGCCTCACCCTTGTATATACTTTTTTCGTTCATTTAATGGTCTCTCTCTTGATAAGAATAGCATTGAAATCCTCGCTTACTACTTTTCGAGCTGTCACACCATCCACAGCAAAATGGCACGATGAGCATCACTCACAACTACCAACTTTGTTGCATAACCACTAACTCTTGACTATTATTTTGAGATATATGGTTGTTTGAATGGGTTATTTTTTGGAGAATACAGTGTACATTTTTTCAAGGAAACATGTAGAAGTTTATTTTATGAAACTTTGACAAAAAATTCAGCTTTCAAATGGAGGCCTACTAACTATGCTTATAGCTATAAGAGAACCACAAAAAGTGTCAGGTCTGATTCGACTCGTGGTTCAACCGGTCATCAACTCGTTCGACCAATCAACACCGGCTCAAACCCTTAAACACATTAACAAATCCACAAATTTACATATACTTTCGATCAATATTGGAAAAATTGGCTGTCGGATCAGACCAGGCCTAGTTACCAGGGACTCACTGGGCGAGCCGGTTTTTAGCCAGTTTAGGGGGTCTAACCACCAAGGGTTGGAACCCCCTAGGTGACTTGCCGAGTAGGCATCCTACACAAGCATTTTTTCTACAACCCATGCAATCTCCGAGTTACCTGATCGGTTAGCCTGGTTACGTCCCAAGTTTGGTGGTCAAGCGGGATCTTAAAAACGTTTCAAATAATTTATAAAAAATGGCAAAAAAAAATAATATATTTTATTTATTTAATTAATATATATTAGTTGTCTACGTATATACTTACTTACTTTATTTTTTTTAGTTTTGTTTTACTTATTACTTACTTACTTATACTATTATTATTATACT